TCGACTTTCAAACCTCTATGACATGTGTGTTACTCTGCTTTTTGCCAGATTATAACCCCCAATTCTATTTGTTTTATCATTGGTAGCCAGGTCTTAAAAATGTCTCAGCACTGAGCTCTACAATTCCTTCCCTAACTCACTTGTCTTCTCTGCCTCACTCTCCTCCTTTAACATATTCCTTAAATCCTGCCTTTTTGACAAAACTTTGTTATCTTTCCTAAAATCTCATTATATGGCTCAGTGTTAAATGTGGTTTAATAATGCTCCTGTGTGATCTTTTACTGTAGTAAAGCTGCCATGCAAAAAAGATTTTTGTTGGGAACTGTAATCCCACACTAGTTGTTAGTCCATTGTCCACTGCAACATTTGAGCAATCCAATAACATTTTTATAATTTTTAAATGTCTTTGTGTCAGGAAGGAATTGTGAATTTGATGGCCACAGCAGGTGACCTAGTTGAGAATGCATCATGTTCTGTCTCGACTCTGTCTTTTAAGATTGCATTCGCTGAACTGTAAACCCAAATACAACATAGATTCAGAATTCAGTAGAAGATAATCTTGTTTTTTTGCGTGCATCATTCTTCCAGCGAACTTTGTAAGTGCCTGAGTCTCAGAAGTGTTTTGGTGTAGAAGGAGGCATTCAGCTTTTGTGTCTGCACTGGCTCTCCAAATCAATATTATAATTTAGTGCCATTTTCCTGGTTTATTCCCTACATATTTCAATTCAAACATTCATCTTATGCCTTCTTGAATGCCGCATTTGGATCTGTCTCTACCACACTTCCAGGAAGTGCCTTACAGATCTAACTATTCTCTGTAAGAAACTATTTTTTCTTACATCATATTTGTTCCTTTTACAGATTACTTTAAATCTATGCCCTCTCATTCTTAATCTTTTACAGTAGGAATTGCCCATCCTCTCGACTCATTCTTGAGCCCTCGTGGTCTTGGAAACTTCAATCAAAGCTCCTTTTCTTCTTTAAGGAAAACAGGCCCAACTTCTCCGATGTATCTTTGTAACTGAAGTTTCTCATCCCTGGTAGTATTCTTGTAAATTTCCAAATGGTCTTCAATAAGATGCCCCACACAGGATATTTGATAAGAGCCCAAGGTGCTGGGGGTAGTATATTGACATAGAGGATTAAATACCTAATAGAGAGTTGGGATAAAGGGGACATTTTCAGGATGGCAATTTATAATTACTGGAGTGGCACAATTACTTACAATATATATTCATGACTTGGTTGACAGAAGTGAATGTACTGTCACCAAGTTTGAGGATGTCACAAAAATAGTTTGGATAGCAAATAGTGAGGATGACACAAAAAGTCTACAGTAGGATATAGAGATAACAAGGTGTAGAGCTGGATGAACACAGCAGGCCAAGCAGCATCAGAGGAGCAGGAAGGCTGACGATTCGGGCCTAGACCCTTCTTCAGAAATTCTGAAGATGGGTCCAGGCCCGAAACGTCAGCCTTCCTGCTCCTCTGATGCTGCTCGGCCTCCTGTGTTCATCCAGCTCTACACCTTGTTATCTCAGATTCTCCAGCATCTGCAGTTCCTACTATCTCTGATACAGTAGGATATAGACAGGTTAAGTGAGTGGACAAAATCTTGGCAAATGGAATACAATATGGGAAAATACGAGGCTATGCACTTTGGCAGGAAGAACAGGGGAAAGACTGCAGAAAACAGCAACATAAAGGAATTCAGGAATGCTCATGTATGAATGACAAAAAGCTAGCATCTTTTTTCAGCAGGTAATTGGGAAGGCAAATTGACTGTTTGCATTTATTTCAAAGAGAATGGAGTATAAAAGTGCGGATGCCTTGCTAAATCTATGCAAGGCACTAGTCGACCACACCTGGAATACTGTGAACAGTTTTCTCTTTAATTAAGGAAATATATACTGGTAGTCTAGAAAGTTGATCCTGGGTATTGAGAGATTTTCATGGAGAGGTAAAGTGGATTGGGCTTGTAAGCATTAGAAGTTAGAAAAATAAGAAAAGATTTGATTGAAACATATGGGATTCTTAGCTGAGTATACAGTGTTTGTGTTGAGAAGAAGCTAAAAGGAATAAACTGTAATAAGAACATACACATGGCATGGTTCCCATCCTTATTAAAGACATGTTCTGACATTGACAATGAACATAATACCACGATGGTAATATAGATTTTTTTTTCCCAATTTCAAACTGATTTCTCTTGTTTAGCCCTCATGTAAATACTGATGCAATTACCAAATTGTCATAAAATCCTCATAATATACTCAATCTCTAAACAAATATGTTTGTTGTCCTTATGACTGGCACTTCAATTGCTATGTTATCGGCATAATGAAGATTTCAAAGAATAATATATATTGAACTCTCCCATTTTATTTCTGGGTGTGCTGAGTACCTATAAAGAATCCCAAAGTCATGGTTTACAATATGATATGAAGCTCTCAATTGCAATTTAGTTTTATGATTGGATGTTGACCATTGAACATTCCAGACTTAGACCAAATAAGTTAGTTGGCTTTGATCACTATGGTGGCAATTTTTATTTCATTACTGCCCAGTTGCATTAAAACAGCAACAGCTCACTTCAGGAACACACGGTGGACTTCATCCCTATACAGAAAGGGATCAAATGATGCAATTCACACCTGGCACTGTTTTTCCTCTCTGTCAACCTGACTGTAGCCAGCTTCTTCACCTGGACACCAGTGACTGATGACTGGAAATGATGTTTGTTGTTGGGCAAAGCTTTTGGAGGCAGTTAGTGTATGTTTCGGTACCTTAATGCATATGGAAATGGTATGTAGTTGCTGCTGTGGATTCTTCAAATATTCTTGCTCCACAGAACTGCTGCAGTTTGACCCAATGCTATGTACTACCGCCATTAAGCCACTGCAACAGGTACTTTTAAAGCGATACTTTCCCCTGGGTCAGAAGATGCCTACATGAACAACGTCAGAAAGATACTACACGCCCCGACACACTCATCACACTACCCTACATCAGGAACACGTCGGAACTCACCACAAGACTCCTACGACCGCTGGGCATCAGAGTGACACACAAGCCCACATCAACCCTGCGACAACTGCTCACCTGAACTAAAGACCCACTCCCCGCCATGGACAGGACCAATGTCATCTGCAAGATCCCCTGCAGAGACTGTGAGAAACACTACATCGGACAAACAGGAAGGAAACTAACAACAAGAGTACATGAACACCAACTGGCTACAAAAAGACAAGACCAATGCTCACTCATCTCAATCCACATGGACAAGGAGAACCACCATTTTGACTGGGACAACACCAAAATCCTGGGACAAACTAGGCAGAGACAGGCACGAGAATTCCTAGAAGCCTGGCACTCCACAAAGCATGCTATTAATAAACATATTGAACTCAACCCAATATACATTCCACTACGAAGGAAAACCAGAAGTGAGGCAATCCATCTCAACGGACCCCAGAGTTTAAAAACCAGGTGGGAAAACACACCGACGCTTCACCGGAGGCTGCCCTGAGGATGTTACCCAGCAGGGTAACAAAACGTCTGCAAAACAAGAAACCAGCTCAGCGAGCCAACCAACCTCAACACCCACAACCTGAGCTACAAATCTACTCCAAAACCTTTGATACTTTTCCCAGCTTTGCACATGCAGACCTTCAAGTTGCTTAGAGAGGAGCCGGTTCTGCAGGGGCTTCTTGTCAATAAGATTGTAAACAATGCCCACCAAAAAATCTGATTGGGGTTCCGCACTAATTCTTATATCCACCAACCACATCCAGTCCTATTAAGGAACATATGAAAAATTTAAATATGTATCTTCTGAACACGTGACTGTTATTGATTCTTTCATCTTTCATCACCCGCAAACATTTGAGGTGCTATAATCATTTCCAACACTAAAAATGATCTAACAGAACTTTCTTTCAAAGAGTTTTAAGTCTCGGAGTTAAAAAAATCGATCAAAGGCACTGAATGATTCTTGTCTGCATTCTCATACCCTCATTGCCTGTCCCATCAATTCACAAATGCAGTCCAGTTACATATCTATCATTAAGAGGATTTATCCACCTTCTTAGCAAACCTTTTCTTTGCTAGTTTGCATTATTTGTGTCAGTTCTTTTTATATGGATCTGTGTCACAGCTGTGTAAAAGGACTGACATTATTGTGTTCTGTATTTTGTGGACAGCTAAATCCTTGTGTACAGCATACTTACAGTTGTTACTTGCGTGACCTGCTGCTGCCACTTCAGAGCTGCTGATACATTTGTCTGTTTTTATCTGTTACCTAATACATTCATTGTCTTTTAAAAATTTGCATAAAACAGCTTTTTTTTAAAATGTATCCATGTGCTGTAGCTTGGCTAGAAATGGTCATTCAAGTTGCCTGATGGCACCTGCCAAAAACAGTTTTAAGTGTACTTGCATTGTGTGGACCAGGCAAGATGTTATTTGGATGAGATGGTCATTCTGATTTCTATTTATGCTGTGATTCTGTCCAGCAGTTCCCACTGATTCCTTAAACTTCAAATCAGCAACAGCAATACTGCAGCAAGATTGCTGAAAAAAATTAAAACGTGGCTGATTAAGCTGCCAATTTCACTTAATTTCAAACTGAACTCCTTGAGAGACTCATTACACACCATAGATTATGAGATAGTTAGGCTTCTTGCTGAACTTTTGTGATAGATCTAGATATTCTTGTCAAATTTGTGAGCTTTGATGTGCAAAAAATCCCTTAGCAATCTCAGATTGTTTATTGTGTTTTGAAATAGCCATTTATCAAAGAGCACAATTCATAATGAAAGACATATTCACCATGTTTCGGGAGTTGTGGGGCTTGAAGCTGTTAAGTGGCACTTGCATTCAAAGTATAGTTGTCAATCTAAAATTCTACTGAGCAGCAGCACTTAAGTATTTTTGGCTGCTCTCTGTGAAGTGATAGCTGGTGCAGTTGAAGATTTTAAATCCATTGCTTTTATCTGCAGAAACACTTTCAGGGTGAAGAAATCCCCAAAGCGCACCTCGCTATCTGAAACATCCTCACAGGTCAGTAATCATGGATTCAAATCAATTCCAGAACTCCTAACTATTATATTGATGTGGGTGACAAATGGAAGGGAAATGAGAGGGAATTTGGGGAGGGCACTAACTATCAGAAAAATTAATTCAAGGATAGCCAAAAACAGTTAGTGGACTTACATTTTTGCCTTTCATTTGATACTTTGTCACTTTAAATGTTGCACTGTATCCATGATGTGGAGGTGCCGGTTTGGACTGGGGTGGACAAGGTCAGAAATCACATGACACCAGGTTATAGTCCAACAAGTTTATTTGAAAACACAAGCTTTTGGAGCCTTGCTCAACACCTGAAGAAGGAGAGAGGCTCCAAAAGCTTGTGTTTTCAAATAAATCTGTTGGTCTATAGCCTGATGTCGTGTGATTTCTGACCTTGTTGCACTGAACAACATTGTTAGCCTTGATATTTTCATTTAGAAGACAGAAATTCTGATATAAAGGCTTGATATAAATATTTTCCTAAAGAAGAAACAAAAATATCTGAAAAGTATATTTCTAATATTTCAGTTGTAGTACCAGTTCCTGAAAGTCCAAGCAGGCCTTCTATTGATTATCCTTTGGGCTGGTGATACTGATTTGAGAATTTGATTTCAAGATTAATATATTTGACGCTTAAAATTTAGGAATCAACCCCACTTACTACTCCTGAGACCCAGCAAGTAATTGGCACAGTGGAACATGCCACTGATGAAGAGAAACTGGCGTCTTCCGTGACAAATCAGAAATGGTCTTACTCTGGAATACAAACTGAATTGGAAGAAGATAAAGCTGATTATCCTCAGCCTTCAGATCTTTCAGCATTTGTGAATGAGAATTCTGAATTTGTAAATGAGAACTATTCTTCAACGGGTAAGTTTCAAAAGCATTGACATTCTTTTCGTGTAACTGCTGGATAAACTTGTAATTTGATTTGGCTACAGTGAAGTGGTATAATTATCTTGTTATGTTCCTTATACATTTTATAAAAGCATAATCTCAGGCACCATTTATTCTGTGATTTAATGGAATGACCTCTGCTGTATCACAGACCTTTTCCCACATATTAGAATATAGGGTGTTATAAAGGGTATAATAATATTTCAGCTTTTCATATTAGAAAGCAAGATGAATTACTGTTCTGATAAACATAACAGGATGTGCAGTTTATATTAAATTTTCATTTTTGCAAGGTGATAGATATGAAAATTTAATCCCTAATCCAGATTCTTTGTCAAGCACAATATATTAGAATTTCTGATCTGGGCCAGGATGGATGGATAGATGGATGGTTGGTTGATTACTGGTTAGGACCCAGAAAATGTGACGCAACTTAGTCCTGCTCAGGTTCCATCTGTTTCATCCATTACACAAATTTCAATGGAAGAAGAAATGGGTGAATTTTTGGTCTGTAGGATTTGGGGAAACTGCTGGGCTACCACAGGAATTCCACTCATTATGCTGTCAGTAGGCTTCACTGGATGCTTCAGGTGCTGAGATCCAAATGAATACAGAATATCACTAGAAGAAACAGGCAAGCAATCCAGAAGGGAACAATTACCTATCATGTTTCTGCACCCAGCTTAAGGCATTCTTCTTCTGTCAGAGTGACATGGAGCAGTTGCAATTTTCTGGACCTCCATCAGCGTGGGTGCTGCTGAAGCACTCTGGAAAGCATCCGAGCTCCTCCAGTCCTTCCTCTCAAACCATACAAATTTTATCATCCTCAGGATTGTACTGTGGATTTGAACCACTGATGTCCTTCAGGGAAAGAATTCTGCTGTCCTTAGCAGGTCTGGCCTACACGTGATTCTGTGGTTGACTCTCAACTGCCCTCTGAAATTTCCAAGCAAGCCATTCAGTTCAAAGGCAACCAAGGATGGGCAATAAATTCTGGCCAACCAGCAATGCCCATGTCCCACAAGTGAATAAAAAAAATCAAGAGGAGTAAGTTTTGTTTAAGTTCTATTTTGGGTATGAAATTGGTGATGTATTCAAGGTGCTAATCCTAATTCTGGGAATTAAGATGCCAGTTGGGTGTCCAGAGGCAGCAGCTCACTGGTTTGTGCCACAAGAGTTTGAGTCAGCTGGAATGCTTGTGGTGACCATAACTTTGGTTCTGGAATGGAGTTGTGGAATAATGAATGAAAAGATATCCAAGAGTATACTGCTGGAACTTATTATATTTATGTGGAACCCCTGTTTGTCCTTGTTCCACATTACAGTAAATGTAATTTGAGTTAATCTCACCATTGTTTTGGTGACAAGGGTAGAAATTCCAAACTGATCAACAAAGTGTCAGATGTCACTGTCATGCAGCCCTTGTGAACAGCCATAACAAATGCATCATCATCACGAACTAATATGCACATAGTTCCTGCATATGTTGGTTGGGGGAACTTGACACTTTAGAACTCATAGATTTTACACAAAGAAAAGACCAAAATGTAGTTTAAATTTGCTCAGTTGTTTCTTGGTGTCTGTGTTCCATTGTTCAGAATTTCACAGTACAATCCTGAGGATGGTATCATGTACATGGTTGGAGAGGAGGGGCTGGTGGAGCACAGATGCCTTCCAGAGAGCCTCAGTAATACCAACATTGATGGAGTAATTACAATCAGGAATGCTGACAAGGATTGGAAGAAGACTGATCTTTCTGAGAGTTACAGGATTCAATATCATTGCAGACCTAGGCAAGGGTGGGACCATTGAGTGATTTAAAACAAGGCTGAGAATTTTAAAACTGCGGCACTTAACGAGGAACCAATGTGAATCACTATATCTTGAATCTTAAAGTTATACCCCTTGAGGTGAACTCTCCTAAGAGAGGAGATTGTTCCTCCTTATTGTATCATGCCGTTTACTCATGTTGAACTCCTCAGTGCGATTATACTTTATTCTTTTATATGCAAGAGAATGTAAGCCTAGGTGTATGTAACATGACCTCAGTATAATTCTTTTACCCCAATATCATTCGGGTGAATTTCCACAGTGTCCCCTCAATGGTTAATATTCACCAAGGGCATCTCAGTTGTACAGTGTGGAGAAGGAAGAATGGGAGGGCAAAAGTGATAGGGAATTCCATGGTTAGGGGATCAGGGAAGTGCTTCTGTGGCATGAAATATGACTGTAGCATTATGTAGCATTCGCAACAGGATTGGTAATCTAAAGTCTACAGAAACATGGAGTTAATATACTGGATGGATTAAGGATTGGCTAACAGACAGAAAAGACAGCTCGGAATAAATAGGTAATGCTCGCATTGGAAGACTATGACAAGTGGAGCAGAAAACGGAGATCAGAATAAATAGGTAATGCTTGGAATCTTGCACCCCAACTGTTCAGTGTTTTTCAAAGATTAGAACATGGGGCCATATGTAATACACCAAATTTGCACAGAATACAAAGATAAGCAGGAATGTATGTTGTGATGAAGATCCAATGTGATTTAAGGAGGATTTTGCTCAGTGAGTGGGCAAGAACTTGGCAGATGGAATATAATGTGGATCATGAGGCTATCTCCTTTGATAGGAGGAACTGATCTGCTAATTATTTCTTAAATGGTGCAAGATTGGAAAGTGTAGATGTCATACTAGATCATAGGACTGCTCTTTTATTATGAAGAGATGACTAGTGGTGGTTTAACCTGAGGGTCAGCTTGCCTCAGGTAAGGGGAAATCTTGAGAAGGAGAGTCGTCCATGGTAGCCTCAGCCAGTGCAGAAATTGAACCCACATTGTTGCCATCACTCTGCATTGCATCCAGCAACTGAGCGAACCATAAATATTTCAGGAACAAAAACAGAAGCTGCTGGAAAAGTTCAACAAAGCTGGCAGCATCTATGAAGAAAAAATCAGAGTTAACGTTTCGGGTCTGGTGACCCCTCCTCGGAACAGATATACTTCATATTACTTTAAAGCAGAGCTAGGAGCGTCTGTAATCTGCTAAATAAATTCAAAATTTGGGTTTAGGTTCCATGTTTTATGATGAAACAATGGAAAATAATATTAAGTTAAGAGTTGTTTGCTTTTCTCTAAATGCAACATTGACTACATCTTTAAAGTGTTTTATTGGCTGTATAAATTAATTCAATGTATGATTATTAATTTGGAAAAATGGAAACAGATTAACCATTCTGGACTTGGCAAACATGTTACATATATATAAAGCACAAGTGGATAATTGAAGAGATAGTGGAGCTTATTAGTTGGGCTTTTACAATGAATATTTTAAAAGAATATTTTCTGTCTGCTTTCACAAAAGAGAGGAACGATAGAAATATTGCAATCAGGAAGGTAGAATGTGAAGTATTAGTTGAAATGAACAGAGTAAGAGAGGCAGTATTAAGAAGATTTACATCTTTGCACGTGGCTAAACTCCAATGTCCAACTGAAATATATCTTAGGCTGTAATGGAAAGCAAGAGAGAAAATAGCAGCCATCCTAGCCATCATTTTTTAATCCTGTCTGGCTACGGTATGATGTTAATGCTGTCCACAAAGGACCACAGGCATCTCTTTTGGTTGGGGGTTTTATTTGTTCTTGGGATGTGGGCATTTGTTGCCTATCCAGAATTTCCCTGGAGAAAGTGATGATGAGTTACCTTCTTGAACACCTGCAGTCCTTGGAGTGTTGGGTTACCCACAGTGATTTTTAGGAAGTGTGTACGAGGATTTTAACTCTTGACAGTGAAGGAACAATATTGTTCCTTGTTGTGTGCCTTGGAGAGGAACTAGCAAGTACTGCTGTTCCATGTACCTACTGGCCTTGCCCTTCTGGTGGTGGAGGTCACAGGTTTCGAAGGTGCTATCAGAGAGTCTTGGTGACTATGTAGCCTGAGAGTTAACATTATGCAAACATAGGGCAAGCCAAGGGGGTGGACCTCCCTAATCTACTGTAGCTGATATGGGATCTGATCCCACACCATTTGCAACATTCTGTGTCACACTCTAGACATCTAGCCATCCAACTCAAGTGCTTCAAAAAAGGAAAACTGGAAAGACCAAATGATTACAGGTCAATTGATCTAAACTGAGTGATGGAAAAATTATTGGATAAACTCAGATACATAGGATTAAACCTCATTTTGCAAGATTAATAAAAGGGAGTCAGCACACATTTGATAAGGGAAAACTGAGTCCAACTAATCAAACTTTTTGAGACTGTAACAAAGAGCATGCAGTGTCAGATGGGGTCTATATGGATTTTGGCATAGACTTTAATAAGGTCCCTCATGGCAAACCGATCACTAAGATAAAACCACATGGAATCCAAGTTAAAGTGACAAGTTGGATCTAAAAATGGCTCAGAGACCAGTAAAAAAATGTAATGGTCAATGTGCGGGAGGCTGGGGTGTTCTGCTGGGTTAAATATGTTCATGGTGTTCAAAGTATATATCAATGATTTGGACTTGTTTGTAGGGGTTATAATTAATACATTTAGAGAAAGCTTTAGACAGAAGGAAAGTATCAATGGTTGAGTCAGGTGGATAGAACAGTCGTAAATGGAGTTCAGTCTGGAGGAATGAGAAATAGTACATTTGGAGAAAGTTTACAAGGCAAGGAAATGCACAATAAATTGCAACATACTGAGAAGTGTAGGGGAATTGTTGGACCTCAGAGTACATGTCCATAGGCCCTTAAACGTGACTTGACAGGTCAAACAGAAAAGTTTTTATTCCATATAGAGGTTATATTCTGGGTCAGGTCTGGTTTGGACACCACACAATTGGAAAGATGTGATTCTGCTAGAAAGGGTACGGAGGAGATTTACAGTGGTGTTGCCTGAACTGGAGAATTTTAGTTATAAGGAAAGCTAGAGTTGTGTGTTTTGGAACAGAAGAAGTTAAAGAGAGACCTAACTGAAGAAAAGAGACTTGTTCTTCTTGGTTAAGGAATCCATAGCCAGGGGCATAGATCTATAGAAGAAACAGGGTTTAGTGGAAAATTGTTTTCAACCAAACAGTGGTGGGAGTTGAAATTCACTGTTCGAAGGTATGGTAATGAAAAACCTTCAGAACATTTAAACATTATGTTCTTGAAGTGTCAAAAACTAAAAGGCTAGAAACTAAGAGCCAGAAGTGGGATGAAGCTGGGTGACTCCTTATAAGGTGGCTTGGACTCATTGGTTTGCATTTATGTCATAAATTTCCATCATTTTTTTGATCATACACTAAATCTAAACAAGTAGTTCTATTAATCTGGAAAGAGCGAGTGATTTGTTTTAAATTTTAAAAATATACAGTGGTTTTAGAAGTTTTTGAAATACTTTTAACATCAGCAAGAAAACATGATTTTAACTGTGATTGTCACTTTACATGCCTCTCAGTGTTAGGAGTAGGAAGCTGAATGAAGTAATGGTTAAATAGGTAGGAAATTCTTACTTTTTAAATGTGAAATTAAATAAGGTAGGAGACTAATTTTTACCAGCTACAAATTGAGGGCAAAAAAACCAGCAAGTGCAAATAAATCATAAATATAAAATATTAACATTTAAGAATAAGATCAAGTGTTTGAATGTAGAGGTTTTTGTAATTGTTTAACTTCTGAACATTATGGAGAGGTAATAGCCTAATGGTATTGTCACAAGTGTGTTAATCCAGAGACCCAGTTAATGTTCTGGGCATCTGGGTTTGAAACCCCCATGGCAAATGGTGGAATTTGAATTCAATTAAAAAAACAAATCTGGAATTAAGAATCTAATGGTGACTAATTGAATCCATTGTAGGTTGTCAGAAAAACCCATCTGGTTCACTAATGCTCTTTAGGGAAGGAAACTGCCCTTAGCTGGTCTGGCTTACATGTGACTCCAGACCCACAGCAATGTCGTTGACTCTTAACTGCCCTCTGGGTAGTTACGGTTGGGCCAGCAATGCCTTCATCCCCCGAATGTATTTTAAAAAAAACTTCACAACAGCAGATAGCACAATAACTTTACATTTCAACTTGATCCAGTGCAAGTAAAATTTCTAGGGTCTATGTTTGATTAGTAGAACAAATAATCAAATATAAGTGATCTTGCATATAAGCAACAAAACAACAGAAAGAATGACTGAGGATGTGCAAGTTAAATCAGATCTGAATGGCTGAAATACTGCTTGTGAATACTGTAGGGTCTCAAGTTCAGAAGGAAATCAATCCGTACTCACTATCTGGAAAGAATTTGAAAATTTACATAAAAATAATTTCAACAAACCCAACATATTACCCAACTTATGGAATGGCGTGGTGACTCCATGGTTAGTACTACTGCCTCACAATGCAAGGAACTCTGGTTCAATTTTACCCTTGGCAACTTTCTGTGTGGAGTTTGCACATTCTGCCTGTGTCCGCGTGGGTTTTCTCCTACAGTCCAAAGATGTGCAGGTTAGGTGAATTGACCATACTAAATTGCCCATTGTATTCAGAGATGTGTAGGTTATGAGGATTAACATGGGAAATGCAGGGCTATAGCCTAGGGAAGGTAGGTGTGGTTGGAATGCTCTTTGGAGGGTTGGTGTGGAGTCAATGGGCCAAATGTTTCCACATTGTAGGCATTCTATGATTCTAATTATTATTGGGTTTATTTGTGAAAATGTTTTACATTATAAAATAATCAGTTATATGAAGTGTCAGCCATAGCTCTGTTGGTGGCACTCTTGTGCCTGAGTTATGAGGTTCCAGGTTCAAAATCCCACTCCAAAGCTTCAGTGCAAACTTCAGGTTTGATTTTCCTACACAGTACTAAGAGGGCAGTGGCTGCACTTTTGGAAGTGCTGCCTTTTGTTATACTAAAGCTCCATCTGTCTCCTCAAGTAGATGGGATAGATCCCATGACACTATTTCAAAGTAGTGTTGAGGAGAAGAGGGGTTCTGGCCAATATTCATCCCGCAATCAACATCATAAAATCAGATTATCTGGTCATAATCACATTGCTGCTTGTGTATTGACCGCCCCATTTCCTACATTATAACAGTAACTAACACTTCAAAATCAGAGAATCCCTACAGTGTGATAGCAGGCAATTTGGCCCCAAAGAACACCCCATCCCACCCCATAACTCTGCACTTCCCATGTCTAATCCACCTATTCTACACACCCCTGGACACTATGGGCAATTTAGCGTGGCCAATCCACATAAGCTGCACATCTTTGGACTGTAGGAGGAAACCTGAGCACCCGGAGGAAACCAACACAGACACAGGGAGAATGTGCAAACTCCACAGAGTCACCCAAGAATGGAATTGAATTGGGGTTCCTGGTGCTGTGAGGCAGCAGTGCTAACCACTGAGCCATGGTATGCCATTTTGGACAATGCAATAAATAGACACATTGGGCATTTTGTTAGTTTGCACAAGCTACCAAAATACTACCATGACTATGAATGCTTATGGAAAATAGACTTTATTGCCAGTAAAACACTTAGAAACATGCAATAGTTGTGAAAAGTGCAACCTAAATGACAGGCTTTCTTTTTCACTGCCTAATTTGAATCCATGTTTGTAGTTAGGCATGCATGCCACTGGAAAAGACATTGTTTCATAATATTTCTTACAACTGTTTATAATCAATTATCAAATCAAATGGCACCTGAACTGTGCGTTATTTCACATCTTGCTTTTCATGGCCATGTATTACTTTCTTTAATCAGCTTGTTGTTTGATAATTGTTTTCAAGGTGATCCTGGACATTGTGGTAAATAGACACATTGAGCATTGTTAGTTTGTGCAAACTGCCAAAATATCTCCATGACTATGTGGATGCTTATGGAAAAATAAGATGGCCTGTATTCATAATGATTTATGATCTAGTACTTTCCATTGACACAACAATATGTAGACCTTGCACAGAGCAGTTTGTTCAGAATCTCCTTCAGAAGGCCACTCTATTCTGTTGTCTAAATTTGCTTTTCAATGTCTTATCATGCAGTCCTGGGATATGAACACTCACTGGACATAGAATACATGGAAAAACTTGGTTCATCATCACCTGTAAGTATTAATTTCATAGTAACATCTAATATCAAAAGTAATTGTTTTGTGTTGAATCTACTCAAAACTTATTGAGCTTCAGTATTACTTGGTTTAATAAATTGACCACAATGCAGAACTTTGCCAGCTACTGACGAAGTTATTTGTAATCTGTATACTGAGATCATGTTGAACTCTCTACCTGCCCCCACTTTAAAGATGATGGGCAGTATATAGGGTTGAATATTGATGTGGCATTCTTCCACTTTTCTGAGGTTGTAAACTTGCTCGCCGAGACGGTGTGTTTGATTACAGACGTTTTGTCTACCAGCTAGGTAACACAACCGCAAGTGATGCCAACCATCCCAGCAAACTGACACATATAAATAATAAGTGGGACAGAACACCAGAGGAGCACTGATGATGTTACCTAGCAGGGTGACGAAACGTTCGCAATCAAACTCAGCGGCTCGATGAGCAAGTCTACAACCTCATCCACAACCTAAGCTACAATTCTTCTCAAAAACTTTTTCCACTTTTCTGCTGTGACTTTGCCATAATCATGATTGGTAATTTATTATTCCCAGTGCTACAAATAATAATATTCTACTTTTCTTTCCTTCTAGCAACATGAAACAAATACAAAGAAACAGTCCATGTACTTAAAGATTGATTCTCTGAAAGACAGTCCAATAAAATGCCCTCCTGTCAGGTTATCCGATTCAACTACTCCTTGTTCAGGGTATGTATCCAGGATCTCCCTGTCTATAATGTGGTGTGCTTTCAGGGAAAAGCTTTTGGGTAACAATGACCTCCAGGATGTTGATGGTAGGGGATTTTGTGACTATAACATCATTGAATATCAAGGAGAGATGGTTAGATTCTTTCTTGTTGGAGATAGTCATTGGCTGACACTTGTATTTTACTTGCCATTTGTCAGGCAATGTCAAGTTTGAGTGTTGTTCAGGTCCTGCTGCATGTTGGCATGGACTGCTTCATTAGCTGAGAAATTGCACATGGAACTGAACAATGCAATCATCAATGACTGTCCCACTTCTGACCTTATGATGGAGCAAAGTTTATTGATGAAAGAGCTGAAGATGATTTGCCAGGACACTAGCCTAAGGAATTCTTGCAGTGATGCTCAGGTTTTGAGATGATTTTACTCCAACAATCATAACCATCTTTCTTTGCATTACCTATGACTTGAACCAGTGAAGAGTTTTTCCAACCCTGTCAGATTCCATTGACGTCAACATTATAAAGGTACCTTGATGCTATGCTTCATCAAATGCTCCTTGATCAAGTGCAATAACTCACACCTCACCTCAGGAATTTAACTCCTTTGTTCATGTTTTGACTAGGAATGGAATGAGGTTTGGAGTCAAGAGATCCTGATGGAATCCATCTATGCATTGGTGAACAGGTTATTGATAATTAGGTGCCTGTTAATGGCACTGTCAACACCACCTTCCACCACTTGCTGATGATTGAGAGCAGATGGATTTGCATTAATTGACCAGATCTAGTTTGCCCTGTTTTTTTTTATATATAAAAGAATTAGCCAGCCAGCTTTCTGTCTTGTTGGATAGATGTCCCTGTTAATGGCTGTGCTGGAACAGCTCAGCTAGATCTGAAATACATGTCTTCAGTACTGCATCCAATTTTGTTGGGGGCTAAAAGGCTTTGCTGCATACAATACACTCCCCAGTTTCTTGCTATTACAAGAGTATGTTGAATTGGCTGAAGATTGAGGAGCTCTGGTAGAGATTAAAATGAATCATCCACTCAACAATTTTGGCTGAAGGTAGTTACAAAATTACCTTGTCTTTTGAAATCTCATGCCAGGATCTGACATCATTGAGGATGAGAATGATCTTGGTGTCTTCTCTTGCTCAGTGATCTTACACTAATCAGACCTGACGTTGCATGACTGCAGAGTTTTAATCTGTTGGTTGATTGATTTCTTAGCCCTGCCTACATGCTGTAGTTTCTGCTGTTTGTCATGTATATGTTGTGGTGCTCCGGTTTCCTCCCACAGTCCAAAGATGTGCCAGCTAGGTGGATTGGCCATGCTAAATTACCCATAGTGTTCAGGGTTGTGTAGATTAGGTGGGTTATAGGGGGATGGGTCTGGGTGAGATGCTCTAAGGGTCAGTGTGGACTTGTTGGGCTGAAGGGCCTGTTTCCACACTGTAGGGTTTCTAAGATTTCTAAGAAATTGACCACTGCAGGTACTGATCCAATTAAAATCTGACTTAAAATGTTATTTTGTGTAATTAATGATGGCCCTCTGAATGGATACAAATTATTTTTCAGCTCAAGTTTAGATGAAGCAGATGATGCAAATAAACTTTCCATCGCACGACCCTTGGCTCCTAGCCAAGAGGCACATTTACAGTCACCTGACAAAGTGAAAGACAAAGATTCCCTGAACTCCTCTCCAGTAAAATCAGACCTGGTGAGTAATCCTCTTGATCCATCAAGTCACTAATGATAAACTAATTTAAATTAAATAATGATAGTAAAGTAAAGAGTAGTAAACAGTAAAGCCTTGCTCTTGTCTTGGTACCCATGTTGAAACCATTGAATAAAGGCTCACATTTAAATCCTGGATGAATGATGAGTTATTATCTGTGTATCAGTGCACTGGTACTGAACTGTAGGGCATAGACCTGCTTTTCACAAGGTGACTTTAATTCTATTTCAGGAGGGTTAAGAAGCAAAGAATTAACATAACTTATTAACCTTTGAGGGTACAGATCAATGTCGAGGATCAAAAGCTTTGATCCAAGCTACCTTTTATTTAACTCACCCTCTTCATCCTTATTGAGTTTTTGTGAACTTTGAGCTGTTCTTGAGCTGAGGTTTCAATTTAAATAATCTTTCAGTGTAAAGAACTAGACTTGTAGACCTTAAAGCAAACAGTGACTGACATCGGTGCTTCACAATTTAGTGGCGTTTGTAGAATAGTTGTGAGCTTGAAACAATTTGTCATTTTGCATCCAGAGACGTTTCATGTTTAGCAATCAGGACATTGCACAGCTTTTACTGACAGTCCACATATCTAGATATTTTCTGATCAAGCTATTCCAATGTATTGACACACCTCTGGAGCAAGTGGGACTTGAAGACAGGCCTCCTGGCTCAGAGGTAGGAACACTACCACCTTGCCACAAAAGCAGTCTACATATCTATGCTGATGTTTGTGCTCCACACAAGCCTCCCTCCCACACTGTTTCAACCAAGCTCATGACAATAAATGCATCAAAACAAAAACATAGAACTGCAGGTACTGGAAATCTAAAATAAAAGCAGAAAGTACTGGAGAAGCACTGGTCTGGCAGCATCTGTAGAGAGAAAAACAGAGCTAATGTTTTGAGCCCAGTGACCTTCCATCATTCCTGGCTTTTTGTTTTTGTTTCATCATAAATGCATCAATGCTGTTTTCCTCAACTACACTATGGGGTAACAAAGTTCACCTTCTGGCTCACTAATTAAAATGGGTTTGACTAATGCTTAAAGTAGGTTTCTATAGAACCTACTAAGTGGCCTAAAGTTATTAGTCTTGTAGGTATTGTGTATATTACCTATTGGTGATGATGTAATATGGATATTTAAAGACTTCATTTCAGAATGCATGCTGACATAAAAGGCAATTTGCATGCTGGATATAATGACACAGGTTTTAGAATGATAATGACTGCAGAATCTTCAGCATTTGTTCCTGTTGCTCGACAGCAATGTTGGGAGTTTGCACAACTGTGAATAACGCAGAAATCCAGAAGTCAACGCTACAGTGTTCCTCCACTCGGTGTGCTCTTGAAGCCCCCCCCACGCCCACCTATCCCCTCCCCTGCCCAGTGAAAACACAAAGCGATCAGTGAATTCATGAAAACTTCCTCTTATTACCCCATTTGTCTCAATAAAATCTTTTAAAAACATTACATTGTGTCCAGTGAAGTGGAACTGAGTTTTTAGTCGCACAGTTATAATTGCTGTAAACAGTCACTGCTCCTGAAAGTTATTTTTTGTTTTTTATAAATGCTGAATTTCTCCATTCCAGTTAAAAAGTCCATTTGCTTTTAAATAAGTTTGCTTAAATTGGATTTAGATAGAAGCTAAATTATTAATAATAATCTTGTACCTTGCTATGTGGAAAATTATATTAAAAATGAAGGATAAAGTGTTATTAAACTTTCTGATTAATTATCATTGAGGATACTGCAGTATGATTGGGTGCTTGCTGGCACCCTTTCTGCCGGTTGCTTTTAGGCCCATTTGACTCGGTACTAAAGGGGAAACTTAACACCACAGAGCTCTCAGTCTTTGTGAGCTGTTTTCTTCAAGGTCAATGCTTTCAGTGCTTCATCCCAGCTACACATTTTCACCCATTCTGCACTGTAACCTGAGTTCTTCAATGACTAAGATACAAATTTCCTACACCATACAAAAGGAAGGGATACTTAGGAATTTTGCCAATTTTAAAGAATCTGTTGCTCAGTGAATGAACCAGAAGATTTCCATGAAGATGTGCAAATCATGTTAGATATACAGTCCAAGAATATTTTGCTTTTCAGGGAAAACATTTGAAGGTTATACATTATATTGTTTCTCACAGTTGTTAATGCAGACATAGTCTCAGTTACGGTAACATTCAAAATTTTTTTTAAGAATAAAGGCAAGGTACCATCCCAAGAATGCTCAAATCACATTTTTATTTGATAGAAATTATACAGAAAGATGTAACTTGTGTACATAGGTACAGTAAACCACTTGCATTGTAATTTGTTGCAAAATGTAATTGCACTAGCAGAAAGTTCAATTTAATCAAGTCATTTGTCCCTCAGTGGAGCGGTGATAAATCTGTGGTATCTGTTGTTCACTGCTGTACAAAACAAAAATTTCCCTTCTCTGGGGGGTATAAAAATAATGTGCTGCTATTTTTTTCTAACATGCATATTTTACTTGAGAATCAAATAAATTAAGGTTTTGGAGTAGATTTGTAGCTCGGGTTGTGACTGTTGTGGTTGGTTAGCTCACTGAGCTGGTTCGTTGTTAATCCGTAGATGTTTCATTACCATGCTGGGTAACATCATCAGTGCAGCCTCTGATGAAGCGCCGTTGTGTTTTCTCACCTGTTATTTAAACTCTGGAGTCAGTTGAGCTGGATTACCTCACTTCTGGTTTTCCTTCACAATGGAGTGTATATGGGGGTCAAGCTCTACGTGTTTGTTGATGGCTTTCTTCGTGGAGTACCAGGCTTCTAGGAACTCCCGTGCCTGTCTCTGCTTTGCTTGTCCCACAATCTTGGTGTTGTCCCAATTGTACTCCACGAAGAAAGCCAGCAACAAACACAGAACTCAACCCCATATACACTCCACTGCGAAGGAAAACCGGAAGTGAGGCAATCCAGTTCAACGGACTCCAAGGTTTAAATAACAAGCGGGAAAATGCAACGGTGCTTCATCGGAGGCTGCACTGATGATGTTACCCAGCAGGGTAACAAAATGTCTGCGGAACAACAAAGAACCAGCTCGGCGTGCTGACCAACCACAATCAAATAAATTGTGTCAACTTGATTTCCAGTACAGCAGACCAATTAATTCTGCCAAATTAGTTTTGTTTTGCTTTGCTGTGCTGTGATATTAAAATCATTAAACATTTGTACAACCTTGTTTTCAAATTGAACTTTTTGAAAGCCTGGTATCTTGAAGCCTTCTGTGCTTTGCTGTTTTCTTGCCTCTAAAGATCACCTGTAATATCTTTTCTGACTGTATAGCAGGGTGCATCACAGATATTTAATATGGTTCCTAGTATGCCATCCAGGTGCTATATCAAAGAGTTATGCTACATCATTGTGGACCATTGTATTCCATTGTTGATTTAGCTAGATTTCTATTACTATTTTCAACTGAAAACAGCAGTTGCTGGAAAAGCAAACTGTGATGGAGTATGGCTAAGGCAGCAAGATATTTGGAACCTCGAGTAGTGTATCTCCCTACCAAATGAGACTTTGGTTTTGAGAATGAAACTGGGAACAGCTGAAAAGGCTGAAAATTTGACAATTAGCGTGTGTGACCAAGGGTCAAATCAGGTACAGAGAAAGAAATGATGGGCGGGACAGGGAGATTTGATTAATAGTGAGTGAAAACAGACAAAGGATAGTAAGAAAAATATCAAAAGATGTAATATCTTAAAAAATCAAAGAACAATTTACTATTTTAAGAAAAGAGTCATCACAGTTTAAATTATTCAATGTTTGGGTGTAAGAAGTTGATTGGAGCTACTTACTAATTATCACATCATTACAAAGTTTCTGGTACTTTTAATTAGCAGACTTAACTTTCTGTATTATGTTTAATGAGTGACCTATTGATTAAAGTACAAATCCATCAAGTTCACATTAACAGAGAAATTGAAAAAGAAATACAATTTACGTGAAGCAAATGGCAAAGTGGCATAAAATAACAAGCAGGTTCTAGAGATCCACAATTTACATGATGTCTCTTAATCTGCTGAATTGGTGAGCAATTTTGTACATTATTAGCAGTGTGCATCATTCAGGGCTTGTTACTTTTTCCAAAGTGTTTTTACTTATTAATCTTGACAGTGGAAGCATTACTTATATATTTTGTTTTTTGTAGTTGACAAATTCATGTCTAAAACTGGAAAATATTAGTGAGCTGTAAATTTTCAGGGTAGATTTATATCACTACTACTTTAAAACTTTCCCAGTAGCTACATCAAACTAGTGAAGCAATAATTCTGAGTAAAGCATTTGTAACACATGAAAATAATGTTGGGTTTTGCAGTTTAGTTTTCTGTTTTCCATTATGCTTGGTTTTTATCTGTTTTGCTGCATTGATAACAATGCTGTTAAGTACAGTAAACTTCAGAAAAGCTAATTTAGTCATGGGATTTTAAAAATGTATGTTAACTTAATCACAATTCACTTTTGTCAAAATATGTTTACAAGATTAGGTTACTAAATTGCCTTAGTCCTGAAATATTGCACCTTCACTACCCTTCTGCGCAGGCAACTCCTGAGGAACCTGTTGCCTCTGCAGATGCCTTGTTAAGTAGGATTATAGGACACACAGATGATGAGCTTGACTATCTGCAGCCTGACACAGCTGAAAAGAACCCTTCGGCATTTGCGTACAAGTTACAGGTTTGTACTGAAAATCATTTCCTGCTCCATTACCACTATTTGTGTTTGCATTCATTTTCATGTCCATTTCTGTTTGTTGTCCAACATTTGATCACAGTCAAAGTCTTACACTTATTTTTTTCCAATACTGCTTTTCTGTGGATTGTTTCCTGCCAATTCAATGCCAGGAAGAGCTAGTGTATGCAGCCATGAGGATAGAAGCACTGCAGCTAGCCAAAGAGCTTTCCAACTCTCCCAGCAGCTCCTTAGATTATGAGGTATCCCGTACTGCCTGGAGTGTTGTGTTTGTAGTGCACTGATTAGTGTGTGTATATTAACTTGATCAAAAGTTTTCTACTGTGTAAAGCATGTTTAAATAATTTTTATTTAGTTTTTAAATAAATCATTTAAGAATAGAAGTTCTGAATTGCCCCTTGTTGACTGCATGTTTAAAACAATTCCTCCCTTTTTTTTCCTTTATGGATTTTAGGTTGATTCATGCCACAGGGTCTGGGGTGTGACTTTGCATGCGCAATATAATAGCTAGCCTAGGGGTGAAATAGAAAACTTTATTACTGCATTCAGTTTGCTTGATTTTCCAAACTCCTTCCTACCCTTTGAAAAGTGGTTGAAAAAACATTTTCATAGATAGTAGCTTGCAGAATTAGGAAGTAAGGACAGAGAATACTGGAATTACTGAGTAGGGCACACAGCATCTGTGGAGATTCAAAGCAAAGTTACCATTTAGGTCCTTGACCCTTCATCAGAATGAGGAAAAACTAGAGATGAAGTGAGGTTTTAAGCAAGTACAGAGGCAGGTAATGGGCAGAAATGAGGAATTAACAAAAAAAAAGTCTGTATTAAGATAAAAGGCAGGTGAGACGAAAAGACAAAATGGATGATAGTGCAAGGCCAATGGGAAGGGAATGGGACAGTAAAGAAAGAAAAGATAGGTCTAGAGGAGGCATAAAAAAAATCACAGCAGCTGCTGTCCAACCAAATTGGGGCAAAGTGCTGAACTCAGTGTTGAGTTTAGAAAGTTGTAAAATGGCAAATCAAAAGGGGGGGTCATGTTCCTTGAGAGTACGTGGAGTTTCATTGGATCATTATAACATAGCAGGACAAAAGCAGAAAGGTCAGAATAGGAGTGGGACAGAGAATTGAAATGAAAGCTAAAGGTCACACTGAGAGTGAACAGAAGTCTCAAAGGTATCTTGATCCTACAGAAAGTGGATAAGAAAATAGCATAGACAGTACACCGGTGACTATATATACAGCATATAGGACTTCGTTGTTAATCTTTTCAAATTTACAGAATCTCCTGCTCTACCTCAATGAGTTCAGATGAACTGGGAACAATGCTCACTGACATACATTCCTGGCAGCTTTTAATGTTCAAACCTGGAATACAAAGATCATGAAAGTATGTCAAATCATAACAGCTGTAACTTACTGCAGATTTGGATGTCATACCTTTCTAATTCATCAATAATTACATCAGCACATAACAAAATATTTCCAAGAGTACCTGTTTGATTACTCAAAGCCAGCCACTGCCAAATTATAGAAGCACAATATCGTTTCAATAGTCACTAATGAAATCTGTTTGGACTTGTTGGAGCCACAGTGAAAGTGTGTAGGTAGATAAACTATAATAAACATTGGTGTGCTAACACATTTATAAACTCCTGCAACGGTTTTTCTAGTGGTCCTGGTGTTGTTGTGAATTGAGTTGGATTGACATTTCAGTAAGCCAATGTATAAATGAACAAGCCAGTTACCCCAGGTAGCCATAAAGTGAGTCTTGTTTTTGCTGTATTTGCGACACTGTTAAGGGCTTAGGATTGAAAACTGGGCCATTTTGCTTTGAGCATGGAGTGGCAATTCTTGAATGAACCACAATTCTGACTCTGGAAGTAGGCAGCATGCAAACTTGATGCTGCCTCCTCACTTGCCCAATAGTGTCGTTGTGCCAAGTGGGGCATATGCTGGAGGCTGCCAGAGAGCTAAGCAGGCAGGCAAGGAGCATTACAGTGAGGGCACAGAGCAGACAGTCTACCCCTCAGTTAGGAGTATTGTATTCAATGCGAGGAAATGCTACTAGCTGCCTGTACAGACACTGGCTACATGTTGCATCTGGACAGGGTAAACACTAAGGAAGAGAGTGGGGTGTCCTAGGGTCACAGATGCAGTGCTGAAGGATTTAGTCATAGAGGCCAAACAGGAAGAGAGACCTCATTTCCATGAGGGGCCAGGAAACCTTCAAGAGCCACCACCTTAAGGGGAAGGGAGTCGGTGGCAAGGAAGGTTATTTCCAGGAACAAGAACAGAAGTTGCTGGAAAAACTCAGCAGGTCTGGCAGCATCTGTGAAGAAAAATCAAAGCTAACGTTTTCTTCACAGCTGCTGCCTGACCTGCTGAACTTTTCCAGCTACTTCTGTTCTTGTTCCTGATTTACAGCATCTGCAGTTCTTTCAGTTTTTATTTAAATTAATTCCTGGAGCCTGATTGAAGACTCAGCAGCATTGCATACCTCAGGAGATTCAGTAACTTCATACGGGTGGTCAAAGCCAGCAAATGTAGCTTCACATGACATCTCCTACCCAATGCTCCATTAACTTCTCAGATTCATCAAAGTACCACACCCCCATTATTCGCTTAGCAGCACTACGTGACAATCAGACCTACCAGTCAGAGCTGCCTGGAGCAGAGTCTGTTGTATCTGAGAACATTGAGGATAACAGGTTGTCAGTATTATTGCCTTGCATTCCTTCTCAACTGTCTCCCCACCCTACCTTGCTATGTGGCTGCTGTTGGTTTGACTTGGACAACTTGTTTTCTAACTAACATCTGTTCCTTCACACTAATATTCCCTTTTCCAATTTCCTGATTTTGGCCAGCCAAGAACGGAAGCTGCTTTTCCAGTCCAGCACTGCAAGAATGAATGACAGTGAGCACTAACACAGCACTGATGAGGAGGCCTCTTCATTTGATCTGATAATCACTGAGAAAAGCTCGATATTGATGCTGCCATTTTCTTTAGAGACTAGTATAGAAGCGGGCTAGCATGCAAAGATTCCCTGGGAGTGCATGGGTTAAAACCACACCAGAAACAAGGATAATTTATTTTCCATGTCAATGCAGGGCAAGGTTGTGGGGGAGTTCTGATACAGAGCTGATGACTATCTCAATGAGGTGGAACATATGAGAACACATACAAAGACCTTCAATGCATTGGCTGGTTGCTAAGCAGCATTGTGCTAATGTCATAGAAGGTTCTGATTCCAACTGAGTAGAATGCATCACACTGAACTTACCCTCTCAGTCGCCTCTGCTCCATCTCCAGGTCAAGTTGCAGATCCAGAGACAGTGCAGCTGCTGACCCCATTGCAACCTAAGTATGGACAGGTCACAAAATCTTCTGCCTTCTTGTGAAATGCAGCAAATCTTCTTGCCAAATCCAGGAGCTCATGACATACACTTTGTAGTACTTGCAGAAATTTTCAAATAGTGCAATTTATTCTAATTGCTTCAACTGTAAGATATTTATCTGGGCTTTGATTGCTCATGCTTGGTCCCTCTTCCAGCTGAACCATATTCTTTGAGTGATATTTGAAAACAGTACATAACAAGAGACATGTAAATCATGAAGCAACTGAGCACATGATTCTAACATCAGAAAGAGAAAAGACCCTAAGCCAGCATTAGCATATGAAGAGACAGATCTTCGACATTATGCACTAGAGAGCTGTATTTGAAAACCTACTGTGTATGGATAAAAATAAAGGTGTGTTACAGTGTGTTAGGAGTTGAATAGCCTTCAATAGCCTTAGTGATTAGAAGCCAACAGTCTCGGGGACAGTGCTTGTCAAGCCAACCACAGCGTGAGGCTACTACCTCAATGCACAGGTGGCGATATTGGCTGGAAGTACAAGATGAGGGGAAACACATTGAATGAATCTCCATGATCCAATTTTGTAATTCGTGGGTCATATAAGATGGTGCAACTGTTTGATGTCATGACAGGGTACAGAGAACATGGAGATGCTCACATGAAAACCCTTCAGTGCATGGATGCCACTTGAGCTGCACAGGAAGCAGCCAGAGGAGATGCATGTCATTTTCAGAGTCACTTCTGCCCCTGTCGGGTCATCTGTTTGCATACGGTTCAAATATTATACCTGTAGTCTATAATTGTCTGTAAGCAGGTGACAAAAATCATTCATAGAATCAAAAGAGTTAGTGTGTCAGTGTTCCCCAACAGTTAAAAAGGAATAAATTCAATACATTTTTCTGGGGACAGAATCTGAGGCAAAGTGATATGAAATGCATAATTACTGCATAATTTTCCAATACTCTGCAGTGCAGAAACACCTTTTCCTCAGGGCAAGGCACTAACATGAAGAAACTATTGAAATGGAACCAGTGCTGGAATGGAAGCCCATCTATCAGCCAACTTAGACAATTTGTGAACTGAATGAACAATAAATACATGATTGCCAGGCATGGTAAATTTATGATTGACTTTGCACTCCTATATTTAATACAATTTACTTGGTGTGATGAAAGTATCTATTGCTTGAAGGAATGTTCAAATACATCAGATGAAAAACACTTGAAACAAATGCCAATTATCATAACAATTTTCATAATTTTAGGGTCTTCAATGTGTAAAAAAAAAATTAACATTAATTGATGCCAATGGTGCTGAATTATGTAAATCAATTGTGGTTCATTTCATAGTTTTATAATGTGGAGTTTCAACTGGAGAGGTATCTAGTTTACTTCCAAGTTCCCTCCAATATGCTGATAGGATTGTGATGAAATACCTCTATTTCTCTGGTTGAGTGCAGCTCCGGTAAGACACAGCATTTAGAATTGTAGAATCATAGAATTTTACAGTTTGGAAGGAGGCCATACCATCCACTGTACCTATCTCCCAAAAGAGCACCCAGCTAGTCCCATTCTCCAGCCCTACTTCTGTAGCTCTCTAAATTCATCACTTTCAAAAATATATCCAACTGTGCTGAAACCTCCTGTAGAATCCACCTCCACCACTCCCATTCTTTAAGTGGAGTAGGTTCT